TATCTATCTATCTATCTATCTATCTATCTATCTATCTATATACCATTACCCCACCCAGCTCCACCCACAACTGCACCCAGATGACACCCAACCACCATCACCAATCACCATAATCCACACCCTCAGCCACACCCCCACTCAATGTCATCATAGCCTCCTTCCTGGTTAGCCGCATCCGAGCAGAAGAGTTACAGCAGAGTAGGCAGTTGCACCCAAGTAGAAGAGTTACTCTGCAGAGTAGTGAGGGAAGCCTTGCAGAGCTACATGCAGCTACAGACTCCGCCCTGAATGGCAGCCCGAGGGCTGACATATTGTTGATTGCCATAGACTAACATGGCTTCCTACAATAGCCACAATCGATAGATACCTTAGTAGGTTTGGTGCCCAGACAATAGCTAAGTTCTTGGTATGCATGTTTGTGATGGCACAATATTCAGCTAGGTGTGATAAATGCCTCATAAGGAACTCCAGGGTCCTGGGGGTGGAAAAACAGACAAGAATTTCAGAGAAATTAGTCTATGATGCTACAGTTTCAAAAAAAATAAATAAAAACCAACCCAAGCTAAAGAGGACTGGAAAAAATTATCAGCAAAATGAGGTACCCTAATAAAGAGACTCATATTTCGCTTTTTGAAAAATGGCCAACTCTTTGCTTCCTTGTTGCATTGCAATACCAAAGGAAGACAAATATATGTCACGTGGATCAACATAGTAGCTAGGTGTTTCCAGCAGTCAAGGTTTATATAGGCAACGGCGAGATTCCATTACTGGTGACTTATTTCCTAAAAGATGGCAATTGCCATCTTTGATGACCATTAGAGGGAGCCTCTACCACATTAAAGAACTGTACATTTTCCCCGTGCAGGGAAGAAAGAGAGAGAGAGAAGGTCCAGTTCAGATGATGAAAGCAGTATCAAGAGATTGCATAACTGACCAATAAAAATATGCTACACCTTTGTTAGCAGATTTTGTGTACGGCAGGAACACATGGATCCTTTAAAATAATTCTAGAAACGAATGATATTTTGAGATATCAGTATCTAAGATGGATTTATGTTGATTGCTTATTTAGTATCCTATGACTATCACTAAGTGTTGTATCTTATGATTTATGATGAATGCATTTCTATGATGGCTATGATCATGATTTATCATTTATACTTCTTATGTACACTGAGAGCATATGCACCGAAGACAAATTCCTTGTTTATCCAATCACACTTGGCCCATAAAGAATTCTATTCTATTCTATTCTATTCCTATGTCTATTCTTACTCTACTCTGTTCTTATTTTACCCTATTTTACTCAGATATTTCAGAACAAAGCACAGTTAATTTGCTTTGTTAATGTGCTTTGCAGTCCTCTCTAAGAGGTTAACAGTGTCAGCCAACAATCTGGGTCCTCATTTTACCCACCTCAGAAGGATAGAAGGCTGAATCAACCTTGACCCGGTGAGATTCAAACTGCCAAACTGCAGGTAGCCAGCAATCAGCAGAAGTAGCCTGCAGTACTGCATTCTAACCACTGCGCCACACTGGCTCAAATAGGCCTGAGCCTAAGCCATTCGGCTCCTGCTTAAAAAAGAATGTAGGCATCCAGACTGCTACTTCCTCTAAACTTTGGGTGTCCAACCTTGGCAACTTTAAGACCTGTGGACTTCAACTCCCAGAATTCCCCAGCCAAACATTCTGGTAGTTGAAGTCCACAGGACTTAAAAGTTGGACTCCCTCGCTCTAAACCAGGGGTCCCCAAACTTGGGAACTTTTAAGACTTGTGGACTTCAACTCCCAGAATTCTCCAGCCAGCAGAGCTGGCCACAAGTCTTAAAGTTGTCAAGTTTGAAGACCTCTGCTCTAAACAATGACAGATATGGTGATGTGGCAAGGAAAAGAACAACTGCCAGACCTCCTAATTCTACAAAGCTATAAGAAGCCAAAGGATATAGGACAAGAACAGATACAAGCAACAGTCAATATTCTATGTAGCCTTCACTGTGCTAAAAATTAGCAAGAAATCTCAGACTTCAGTGAGATCTATTTCTTTCCATCCCGAAATGGGCTTCCTATTCAGTTTCTATGGCATGCTGAGTTAGACATCTAATCAAAGGATTAAACTCTCAAGTTTCCCATAACCACACCATGCCCTTCCTCTGATGCTGGATGCCTACATACTGTATGTAGCAAGCGGCAACGTTCTCCAAGCCGGCTACAAGAAAATCTCTTAAATGTTTTCCAGATCTCTAAACCACTTGTCTGACTCACTCCTGCTAGCATTTGCATCTTATCCTTAATACGGATTGCATTGAGATGAGCTGTCCTACTTCCCTGCTGACTCTTCAGCACATCTGCTATCTCTTGCTGCGATGCACAGAGTTAGACCTGCCTTTCAATTCTATTAAATTTTTAATTGACGATTCCGCCTGAAGGGCAAGATAACAGCCAGTAATTTCTTCACATTTGTTCCCTTTTTGCGCCCTGGAGTTTAATATTTCTAGGAGGTATGCTGAATTTTGCATGATGCTTCCAAGCCCACTTCATAGAGGATCAGCAGAGAGGACACAGATGTTTTGTCTTGTTACCGAGCTAAATAAAGTGGAAGTCAACCTCGTGTCATCATAAATCTTTCAGGATACTAGAATAACAGAGTTGGAAGGGACCCTGGAGGTCTTCTAGTCCAACCCGCTGCTTAGGCAGGAAACCATATACCACGTCAGACAAATAGTTGTCCAACATCTTCTTAAAAACTTCCAGTGTTGGGGCATTCACAACTTCTGGAGGCAAGTAGTTCCACTGATTAATTGTTCTAACTGTCAGGAAATTTCTCCTTAGTTCTAAGCTGCTTCTCTCCTTGATGACTTTCCACTCATTGTCCTACCCTCAGATGCTTTGAAGAATAGCTTGACTCCCTCTTCTTTCTGGCAGCCCCTGAGATATTGGAACACTGCTCTCATGTCCCCACTAGAACTTCTTTTCATTAAACTTAGACATACCCAGTTCCTGCAAGCGTTCTTCATATCTTTTAGCCTCAGGTCCCCTAATCATCTTTGTTGCTCTTCTCTGCACTCTTTCTAGAGTCTCAACATCTTTTTTACATCATGATGACCAAAACTGGATGCAGTATTCCAAGTGTGGCCTTACCAAGGGATTACAAAGTGGTATTAACACTTCACATGATCTTGATTCTAATTTCACAGAGGAAAGAAGGGATCCTCAATAAACCAACTAAGTATAGGACAACAGGTCCATCTCTTCATGTAAGTAGTCCTCGACTTACAACAGTGACCATTCAAAGTTGCAAAAAGACTGGAAATAAGTGACTTGTGACCCATTTTTCACACTTATGACCATAGCGGCATCCCCATGATCATGTGATCAAAACTCAAATGCCTGGAAACTGACTCATATTAATGACGGTTTCAGTGTCCCAGGGTCATGTGATCACCTTTTCTGACTTTCTGACAAGCAAAGTCGATGGGGAAGCCAGATTCACTTAACAATGATATTAACATAACAACTGCAATTATTAAGTTGATTCACTTCATAAGTGTGGCAACTGTTGTAAAATGGGGCAAAGCTCACTTAACAAATGTCTCACTTAGCAACAGAAATGTTGGGCTCAAATTCAGTCGTACGTCGAGGACAATCCTGAACAGCCTTATGATTTTTTTTTAACTCCCTAGACTAAAGCAGAACCCACATTTCCCTAGCAATTTGTCATCCAAATACTAACCAGGCAAGATTCTGCTTAGCCCTTTAGCCAAAGCAAAGTCAGACTACCTGCTGAACAGAGCGAGAACTTCAGAGTCTCTAAAGAGTTATTTTACAACCGCGTACGGAATGAGGAAGGCGGAAAGGACATTGCTTGTAAAACAGGGTGGAGACAGATTCGTGTTAATGGAGGCCCATTGCTACAGTATGTCTGCAGGGAAAACGGGACACGGGCTTCCCCCAAAATCACCGAGGGTTCTTTTTTAAATAACATAACCACCAGTCCGTGTAAACACAATTGAAATAACTGGGCAAATAACCAAGTAGGGCAGACCTGTAGTGTGGTGGTGGCAACTGCTGGATGACATCGTGGATTTTCACCAGTCTTTCTTCGTCGGTAGCAGCAGATACAGCATCCTGGAAGAAATCCCAAAGTCTCAGTCCAGCACATTTCTTTCTTTTTTCCCCTAAAGCCTTCCAGAGGAATACTATTGAAATCATAATGCAGAGCAAAAATAAATGTGTAGCTAAGTTTTGACTGAGTGGGAAGGGACCTTGGAGATGTTCTAGTCTATTCCCCTGCTTAGGCAGGAAACCCTACACCCCCACTAAATCACAGGGGGTTAATCCTTTGGGATTCTGTACCAATTCCAATAGGCAACAGAGTATAGTGCAACCCTCCTGACCAGAGAATTCTGGGAGTTGAAGTCCACAAGTCTTAAAGTTGCCAAGGTCGGAAGCTCCAGTTACGGGAGATTTCCCCATATTTCTCCCTGGCAAAATAGCTATGAGAGTTATTCACTTATTTGGATCTCTTGGGACTGGAATGGAGCATTGTCAACTAAATCCACTGTGTTTCCCCCAAAATAAAACAGGGTCTTATTTTCTTTTGACCCCCGAAATATGCATTTGGCCTTATTTTTGGGGAAGTCTTAATATTTGTGAGGTGCAGGAGGTGGTGAGCGTGGTCACCTCATGGCTGCTGCTGTGTTGCAATATTTTCAGGGGAGGGCTTATTTTAGCGCATGCACTCAAAAACCCGATTGAGCTTATTATCTGGGGAGATCGTATTTTCGGGAAAACAGGGTAGTTTAGTTGCTAAGTTGACATTGGCATTGTCAACTAAAACCTAGTTTCTAGTTTCTGGGCAAGATCTGTTTAATTTGTACTTATTTTAATCTTAATCTTTTAACCTTACATTTTATATTTTACATTCTGTGTAACTTTATTTTAATCGGGATGCATCTGAGATGGATAAACAAACAAAAAAATCTCTGTGTTGTTGGCTACCAAAGGCTAACATGGCTTTCTTCCTACAATGTCCGCAATCAATAGATACCTTAGTATCGTGATGAGGAAACTATGGCACGTGTTCACAAAGTGGCAAGCGAAGCCATGTCGCCTGGCACATGTGTCCTTGCCTGTTTGTCTTCTGGGTTTCTGGTGCGCATGCATACGTGACAATCAGCTGTCCTTCACGTGCGTGGCAGTGCCAAAAACCGGTGTGCGCATGTGTGCCAGAACCCAGAAGTTGGGCTTTTCCGGAGTGCGATCCCTTTGCCCGTGCGGCAGTGCCAAAACCCAGCCTGTGCATTCACGCCAGTCAGCTGATTGTCGGGCACGCATGCACACTGTATTTAAGTACAATGACAATAAAGATTATACTTATATATAGGGATCGTGCCAGTTATTTAAGTGTGTTTTTATTTCTCCACATTATCCACAGGAAAAATTTAAGAAATCTCTGAATCACAACTCATGATACCCATACAGTAAGAGGTAGGGCTGTCTTAACGCATGAGCCTGATGGGAATTTGCCTGCCCCCCCACGAGCATAGGTGCTCCATACTAATCTGTATATGTTAATCCTTCAATGCACCTTGTATCATATATGTAAATACACCAACGTATTTATTATATTTTACTGCATTTTTGATTAATACTAACGTGCATTAATAGAAATCAACACTCCTAACACTGATAAATATATGTTTAATTATACAGACCATTAACATTTTTAATCCTGTGAATGGTTGTCGTAGGGATCCAGTACACTGCTTTGCAATCTTACCGAAAATTTCTCATAGAGCTGATAGGTGAGCAGAGGATTGGGGAGTTCTCGAAAATAAAGTTTGCAGAGTGAACCCACGCAGTGTATATCCTGAATATAGACATCTTTTGTCAAGTCGGGGATTTGTTCGGAGTCAAACTCATGCCTGAAGGGAGGGAAAAACAAAAAGGGAGGGGGGGGAGAATATATTAAATCAGAAAACAACACGGTTTGCCTTTAGGTAAAGGTAATGGTTCTCCTTGCACATATGTGCTAGTTGTTCCTGACTCTAGGGGACAGTGCTCATCTCCATTTAAAAGCCGAAGACCTAGCGTTGTCCGAAGACATCTCCGTGGTAATGTGGCCGGCATCACTAAACGCCAAAGGCGCACTGAGCGCTTTACCT